ACAGTGATTTTAGGAAGTAGTTGGAAAATGAGTTGCTAACAGTGATTTTAGGAAGTTTATATGGAATTTAGTTTATATCTGGATACATCTGATGGTTGTTGGTTGTTGTTGGAGAGTGAGTTGCGAACAGTGATTTTAGGAAGTTTATATGGAATTTAGTTTATATCCGGAGATATATGAGGGTTATAGTTGGAGAGTGAGTTGCTAACAGTGATTTTAGGAAGTTTATATGGAATTTAGTTTATATCACTAGTAGAAATTCGATTTATCGCGACGTTTTTTTAACGTCGCAAAAATCTTTCGTGACGTTTTTAATGTCGTCACGTATGCGCCCATCACAAAAGGTATACGAGACGTTTAAAAAATGTCACAAAAATTAGCACACGTGACGATTAATTATCGTCATGAAAGACATGGACTTCCTTGACGTTCATAAAACGTCATGCAAAATGATTTCGTGACTGTGATACAAGGTCACGGAAAGACCTTGAACAGGGGAGGAGAGGTCACGTGACATCCTTTAGTACATTGATGGTCTATTTAGTACTGTATATAGCACATACTAGTCTTCTCATCTCTCCATAAATCATATCTAACTTACAAAGATAAGCACAAATTGTTTGAAAAATTAAATACAAGACTATGAAATATTTCAACTTGAACTAAAATACCAACCAATTGAACTAGAGATACGAAGCTTCCATTGCTCTAAATCCATCACTTGCTTCTATTGATTTTTTGTTGTTTAATTTTCTCCCTACTCCACAAAATCTAGAACATGTATTCCAGAGAAATAAGTTAACTCTTGAAATAACATAGCTCTTGAAACAAACATTCAGGCCAAACACTAAGAAAACTACCTTCATAGCTTGTTTCTGTCCAGCGTAATTAAATTATGTGAAAGGCATCATTTTGACGGTTAATTAGAATGCTATGCTTTTACATACAATATCATAGTAGCCCTTCAAGAATTTTAGGACTCAAGATGCTTGGAGATAATCAGTAGACTATAGAAAAATTGCATTTCAATATAAACTATTTTTCATGTATTAGAACCACCACGAATGTTCGTAGCTTCATAGCTTCCCTAATGGAATGTTCGTTTTTAATTTATATTTTTCATAGCTTCCCTCATGGAATGTTCATAGCTTCCTTAATGGAATGTCCGTCATTAAGAAACATGCAATTACTAATTACCTAAAACAAATGATATACCACTCATCTCTCTCTAAAATAAAACTAAACATACAAATATATCTAATTCACTAGGAGGATTCAATACCCATTCATCAAACACAAATCAAACAAAAAACTAAAAATAAAATTTCAGCATGTCTTATGCTAGAAATTACCACCTTCTTTATAAATATAGATTATTGTCCTAGCTATCAAGTGAACTATTAGCAAAAGGGAAAGACATTTTCTTCTCAGCTTCACAAACTCAAGATTATGGTATATTACAAGCAGAAACAACAACAACAATGAAGCTTTAGAAATGGAAGGACAAAATCGTTCTCACTCAAGGAAAAGAAAAATCAATTAGTCTTATCTCATTTATATTGATAAATGTTGTATATCAATAACTAGTGAATAACATTGGCTAATAAAATAACCTTACATCTATTGATGTCAAAGTGTGATGTAGAATTGTTGCACATGACAATTGAATATAAAGATAAAGGTAGTTGAAAATACACCTTTCCTATGAAAGCCAATAAACCACCAACCACATAAGAAAAACCACCTACAACAACGTAAGCAAAACCACCATCAGTAGGAGCTTTCTTAAAATAAGGAGCTTCAACATGTAACTTACAAAGATATGCAGAAAATTGTTTAAAAAAATCAATACAAGAGACCTTTCCACTTGAACTAAAGACCAACCAATTGAATTGGAGGTATGAAGCTTCCATATTGCTCTAAATCCATCATTTGCTTCCATTGATTTTTTGTTG